CTGGGGATCCCATGGCACACCCATGTTTCTGCCTATAATATTGCCCCCCGTACGTAAAGTAGGTTGACTCCAGGCACTCTCTCTCTCTGGTTCTGATTCTGAAGCAGTCTCCTTATCAGTAAGTGGCACGCTGTGTTCCACTGATATCTCAGTTTTCTCCAGCTGTCCTTCAGACGTCAGCTGTTGTGGTTTGTCCTGTTGTTTGTTTCCAGCCAGAACTTTGTTCAGGAAATACTTCATGTTTGAAACCAGAAGTTGTGCTCCAGTTTGATTAAGAGACAGCCCATAAGACTTGAAGAGATGTTTTCTTTCCCAGAAGAGATCAAAGTTGTCCACAAAACTCACAGAGTGGTCATCACAGGACTTTTCCAAAAAGCCATTAAGAGCTAACAGTCTGCTGAACCTCTCAGCTCCTCCTCTTGCTGTGGGAATGGGCCCACTGAGGAACACATCCATGTTGAGATATTTAACTGCATTCAGCAGCAGAATAAAATCCTTCTTCAGGATTTCTGACTGTCGGTTCATCACTTCATCACTTCCTGTATGAATGATGAGKGTCTTCAAAGTTGGATACTCAGCTGTTATTTGCAGAATSTTCTCTGTGAGGTCAGACACTTTRTCAACAAAACTCAGAACTTTGACTTTTTTCTTGTTCCAGAAGCCTCTGATCACATTCACCATTTAATCTGTGATGATCAGYATTTCTTGATTCTTGAAAGTCTCTTTTTGGACTTGCTTTGGCTTTGAGTTGGATCTGGATCTGGTCTCAGGTCCCTCGCTGAGATCAGAAAGTGAACTTTGTTCAGACTCACCAGTTTCTTCCAGTGATGTGAATCTGTTTTGAAGAAACACTGCTTCATTTCTCTGGCCGTTATCACTTGTTTTGATTATAGCCTGTTGCTTTCTTCTCCTTGCTGGAGAAGAAAAAGCATCTCTCTGTAACTCTGGCCATTCAATGTCATCTAAGAGCTGAATCCTTCCTGAGAGATTTTTTGGTCTGGCACAAAGAGAGTTCCATACCGTTTTACACTCAGAAGCAGCTTCCATCTCCTCTCCATGTTGATCTCTCATCTCAGCCTTCTCACCCATTTTAACACCCTACTTCTGCTTCACAACAGTAGAATACAAATTTGAGGTAACCTGAATTATATTTCATTTCCAAAAATGCTTTCTGAGTACCATGAAAGGGATCCTAAGTACTTGTACTGTAGTTTGCAAACCAGATATTTTAACCAATACACCTGTWAGGTGCAGAGATGGGACTAAACTCACTTCTTTTAAACAATGAGAAACATTTTGAAGCCTATTTAGACGCTGTAAGAACATACAGGATACTGACCCTCAAGGACTAGGATTGCCCACCCCTTGTTTAGAGAAAAAATGAATTAATGTTGGAGCAGAAGTGCATTGTATCAGATTTTTTGAGCTAATCTTTTGGCTTTATATATACTGTAGAAAAAAGTTGTTATTCCCATCTGCACAAGTTTATCACCCWTCAGAAAATCCACGTTATGAGAAAGTAAGTGTTCGTTTGTTATCGTTCAAGTGTTTTTGCCTTACTGGAAATCACAGGGAGATAACACAAGTAAAGGTTCCAGTTGACGTCAGATCTTCTAGGAACTGTACACATCTCTCACTCATTCAGTGTATACAGTGGGGAAAAAGCTAGAAGAAAGGTCAGATTCTGGGTTTGAGTTCCAGCACTGTTGTTTTGCTTTAAAGATTGCTCGTGTTACTCGGTATCATATCTTAGAAATCACTAATCTTGTTGCAAACACTGCTTCAGTTTCACCTTTGGGTGGTCAGCCAGCCAGCCAGCCAGTTAGGCTGCCAAAGCTAAATAGTTGGACTGAGATCTGATTACTTCTGTCATATCTTTGGCGCAGCCATGTGATTTCAAGGCATAAAGTTATCTCAGATACTTCAGAATCAGGTCTCCCATCATGAGGTCAGACAGCACAGGAAAGCCACAGGGGATGATCCCCTTTCTCCCTCCATATTTATTGTCAGTCATCAACCTACTAATAATTGTATATACAGTATTTAGGGTCAAGTAAATAAAAAATCATAGCTTCACCAAACTCTACCAATTACAACCAACATAGTAAATTACATAAAGTTTTCTTATTGTCAGAACACATTAAAAAGGCAAAAGATTATCATAATTTATTGTAAAAAATTTTGATTTTTAAATATTTTGTTAAATGCAAAATGTTGCTTTGTATATTTCTATTTGATAAATAATTGCAACAGAAAACAAATGCAGCAGGTTAATGACCAAAACATAACTGTGTCACAGAATTTGAATGTACAAAGAAGCCAAAGTATCTTCAAATACCAATCAGTAGGAAAATGTAAATAAATTTATTATTTTGTTTGCTTTTGACTTTTATTTTATTGGAGGCATGATGAACATTAGCCTGGTTAAAACCAGACCTTTGTCCTTCACTTTGCTTCGTACAAGGGTCTGGACTTGTTGCATAGAGAAGCGTTTCTTGCAGGAGGCGTGGCCTCTGCTGAAGCGTGTGTGTGTTGTCGGTCTGAAGGAGGCTAAACTAAGAAGCTAACCGGAAATCGCGTGTGCTGTAAACAACCCTACTGAGAGGAGAAATATACCAAGCCGAACGAGACGGCTGTAAATGAGAGCTGCTGCTTTGTCAGACAAATTTATTTTAATTTGGAAGCCTTATCAACACAGACTGGCTTCATTTACTTCCTCCACTGCCGTATGCTAAAATAACTAGCAGACACTGCGCAGAAAGTCGACGTCGTTCAAAACTCCGCCTTCTGTTTGCTGATTGGCCCAGGTAAAATAAACCACAAGCAGACACTGCGCAGAAAGTCGACGTCGTTCAAAACTCCTCCTTCTGTTTGCTGATTGGCCCAGGTAAAATAAACCACAAGCAGACACTGCGCAGAAAATTGACGTTCTGTTCTCTGATTGGCCCGGACAAAAATCTGTCAGCGAAATCCTTGTCAATGGGAGAAATCCCAGACGGAGCAGAGAAGGGAAACTAGAATTGAGCAGAGCTGCGTAGGAAGGCAAGGGCCAGGCTAGATGAACATAGCATATTTTTGTTTTGTTTGATCATTTTTGTGTTTCTGTTCATAAATCTTATTTTAAATTCTAGCCATGCAACACACTGAAAAAAAATGAGATGTAAAATTTTCTATTCCATCGCAAGTCCATTTTTTATAAATAGTGCTTGAATTTTGATTTGTTTAAATTTAAAATATGTTTTCAATACATGATTGTTTATCTTAAATTCTCCCAAAGCAATGTTGTCTATTAATCAGATTAACATAATACTTCTTCAGGCATAGGGTGTCCTGAATCCATGCAGGATACAATGAAATCTCAAGACTATCAAGGCATTCTGGAGAGAAATGTGATGCCTGGTGTCAGAAAGTTTGGTCCCAGTCGCAGGTCATGGGTCTTCCAATTGGATAATGACCCAAAACACTCAGCTAAGAACACCCAAGAACGGATCAGAACCAAACATTCGACAGTTCTGAAGTAAATCTTGTGGAACATCTGTGAAAGGAGCTGAAAAATGCCATCTGGAGAAGACACCCTTCAAACCTGAGATAACTGGAGCAGTTTGCATACGAGGATTGGGCCAAAATACCAGTGGACAGGCACCAAAGTGTCAATGACAAAGATAGGAATTGTTTGATTGCAAAGGTTGTGCAACAAAATGTTAAGTTACGGGGGCCATCATTTTTGTCCAGGCCTGTTTTGTTAATTTGATTTTTTTATTCTGCTGAACCACAATTTAAAAGCTATACCCAATTTTCATTGGTTAATCTTTTGTAAATTTTAATTCATTATTACTTTTGTCAGTTTAAATTTATTTCAGAGAACATCAAGGTCAATAACATTCAGTCATTAACAAAGGTGTACCAACATGTGTGTAGAAATAAAGCTTTTTAATTCGCACACGGTCTTAAAGAAAAACTGCACAAAACTGAACAAAATTAGGTCTGTTTGGATTATTTTTTTCCTTTTCTGATCGCTAAAACCTGAAGCAATATTCTGTTTGAAGAAAATGACACACAGCTCAAACCTGTGAAATTTGTGAACACGGTTCTGAACTTTGAGCACAAAGCTCAGAGATAAAACCCATTTTTTTCACAACAAACACTGAAGCTGTTGTTTTCTGTGGCTGGGTTGTGTAGGTAATGCACATTTGTGTTGTGTTTTCCAGAGCATAGTCTGCACCGGGATGATGAAATGGTTTCCTGACCCACGAAACATCTTCTGTATCCAGTCATGTGAGGTAAGACAGAGATAACAGAAGAGCTGTGAAGGTACAAACTTCTTTTCCACTTTAATCTATTCATTAGACCGAAATAGGCCATCAGAGAAGGAAAATACTGCTTCATCTAGATTTCAGTCTCAACATGGATTTAGAATCTGTCAGTATCTGGTTTAATTGTGACTGATGTTTTATTAGCTGAAGACACGACAATCTTTCACAGAAGCTGTGTGCCACATTTACCAGTCTTTACTTTTTCCACTTCACAAAGCGAAAACAGAAGTTAAACAAAGTGCAAGACAGGATTTTCATTTCTGTTGACACTTCCCTACTTTATCAGACAAATCGATTACATTATACTTTGTCTTTCTTGTCCGTCAAACGCACAATCCAGATTTTAGTTTGCCTTTCTTGTTTTTTTAATGCTTAATCTTTACAGCAATTTTAACTTTTCGGGGTAAAACCACATCAGATTTCGTGTCTTGGACAGACTTCTCCAGTTGTTTTCAAAGACAAGGCAAAACCACGCTGTATCCCTGTTGTCATCACTACTCAAAATACCAGAGCCAGTGTGCAATATTCTTCATATTTCATGCTGACAAATCTCATGCAGAAACTGATAGTCTCTCACTTAGCAAGAACCCTTTTCAAATCTGTCCAAGCAGCTGTCTTTCCAGAGATTCCAGCATTTCCAAATGTTGTTGCGCCTTCCAAGTCTAATGAATTATCTGATAAAGGAAAATAAATTCATCACTGTATTATCTTAGATTTAGATCATTTTTAGATATTTTTTTTTATCCTGACACAAGGTTTTCAAATTGTTCGGCTTAGTTTAAAAAACAGGCCGCCTCTCGTGTGCTTGGAGCTCTTCTGAAGAGGTTAGCTTCCTGGTATATGATATTCTAATGCTATCAATCATCTGATAAATTTGTGGATATTTACAAAGAAATAGAAAGAACTAAGGGCAGGAGGCATTTCTGTTTGTGTTTTACTGTACTCATATTAAATGTGGTTGGGAAAAATATGTCATTTACTCAGAAATACAAAAAAAATAGTACCACATTCTTTGCAAAATACTCACTGGTAATCAATCCCGGTCATCTGTCCTCCCATTCATACCTCCCCAGCTATTTTAGGACTTTTATTTTAAGGTCCTTTTCTTCAGGTACTTTGGTTTTCTCCCTCAAACCAAAAATWTTCACGGTAGGCTAATTAGTAAGTCTAAATTGTCCCTAGGTGTGAGTGAGAGTGTGAATGGTTGTTTGTCTCGATGTGTTCCTGTGATGAACTTGTGACCTGTCCAGGGTGTACCCTGCCTCTCATACAGTAATTACTGGACGTGAGCACCTGTGACCCGTGTAAACTAGAAAGGAAGAAGAATGTAATGGATTCTAAGGTGAACATTAAACGCAAAATACAATGTGAAACATGCATCTGATATTAAATGTTGCCTCGTGTTTGTGACTTGTTTGCAGCAATTTCTGTATTACAAATTATGTGAAATGTCAAAATTCGTTAAAAAGCTGGGTCAGCTCTTTTAATGTCTTACCTTTGTTATGGTTTTAAAGGGGCAATATCATGTA